CAATGGTTTCCAGTCCATCAAATACTTGGATGGAAAAAGAGTCCTACACATTTGTATTTATTGACTAACTTGGGGCACGGAGGTGATTTACTTTGGCAAGTGATTTTGATATCTTAGTTCCTCATCACTATTACAAATCCTGTTTCCTGGCACTGGAAAGCTTTTTGCAAAACCTGCTCTGTTTTTGTAGTTTTAAAACCCCAACTATTTCATCACTTTAGGTCAACTAGCAGGAAGTGACTGATACATACCATTTAACCATGAAACGCCAAGCTAGTCTTCACAGAATTAGAAGCAAGCTCTTCTCTAGAGCAGTCTTTTTCTTGAAAAACTACGTTTCATCATAACATTCTCCAGTCAGCTCTACTTCTTCGGTTTCAAAGAATTTATCTTTGAACATACTTCTTGGCCCAGCTCCCCTACTTGTTCATTTAGACAATAAACCTCTTTTCCTCCTATAAACTAACCAGGGACCTAGTGAGCCTGAGTAATTCTTACAAAGCACATTGGAGGTAAATGTGAAATGCTACCACCAGGAAAGTCATGGAGATAGAGGAAAGAAAGGACAGGTCATGGACTGGAGAAAAGAAAACAAATGGCAGTGAAATTTTACTTTGATAAGAGTATGAAGGGATAAAACATTTGATAGCATTGAAACGTATTTTATCTAAGTCCCACAATACCTCTGCTCAACTATTTTGACTTTAAAAGCCTAGCAGAAAGCCTCCAGAACATCAGTAAACCAAATTTTCTCCTGTATGTCACTCTGCAAGTCCTCTCCTTCTCTGTGAAGCAGAGAAAGACCTGAAAGTATGGGTTGCTTTGGGAGAGAAGTCAGCAGAAATAGCAAACACCCTTTGTAAGCATGGCTGGATGCGTGTTTTCAGACAACATCTTCAGTGAAAAGCATTCTGTTGCATTTTTTCCCAAGTCTAGATATAGCACAAACTTGGAATACCTTAGTAGAAGCTCTTTTCACTACACAGAGACAACAGTGTTTATTACCTCTGCAGAAGTAATAAAGTCAGCGTGCCAAAGCAGCTGGAATCTCAACTGAAAACTAAAGCTTTTACCTCCATCAATAAAGTAACTTCTGCCAGGGGAACTGGAGATCTACTGGCTTAATGAAGTATCACCAGTGCCAGAGAAATTACATGCTGTCTACCTTCAGTCAATATTAATCCTTTTGAGTGATGCTTCCTCCGCCTCTACGTGGTATCACATACGACCAACCAAGGAACAGAGCATTCTGCTACAATCATTCAACTCACCTTCACCTGTGCACTTGAAATCTTTCATCTTTCACGTAAGCTTGGAGTTTGTGTACACTGTGTGGCAACAAGAACAAACTCACTGAAAGGCCAGTCCGGCTGCAAGACAGGGAGGTAGAATAACTGGGTGAAGAAAAAAGCAAAGCAACTCTGTCTTCAGTTATTTGTTTTTCAATAAGTCTTTTTCATGCTTTCAGTTCCCTTCTTCCAGAGATTCGCCTACAGCCTACTATGTAAGCAGTTTGGACAGATTTTGATTAAATGTTCAGTGTATGCCTAGTCCTAAGCACTTTCCATCTTTTGCTGAATACCTTTCATAACTGTGACAGGTGAATGCTTGTGAATATCTGCCAAAGGCAAAAAATGTTGTACTCAACATTTCCAAACCTCTGTTCACTATAATAAAGAGGGGAAATGCTCACACTTGGTAACTAAGAAAACAATGCCTTTTTTGCAAAGCTAATCCAGGCAATGGAGAACCACAGAAATGTGCCAACATTCATTGCTTTTAAACAGGCAGCAAGAATATACCTACTTGTAAATCAAATCACTGTCAAACTGGTTTTCTTATCTGAAATGAGTTTTCAAGAAATTTGATCATTCAACTAGATTTTCAGTGGTAGAAATTCAATAGGAAAAAACCCTCTTTTTTTGAAACTCACAATTTTCTTTCTAACAGAATCTGGTTTTCAGACTTGCAGAATCTACAGAATCATGGAGCCCCATACAGCACATACTCAAGACGTGGCTTTCCCTAATACTCCAGCACTCCTTCTTTGCAGTGAGTGTGCAGACGGCAGCAGGGAGAACAACCCACATCTCCCTGGGAGTACTGGAGAGCAGTATCAGAGATTTCTAACTGCAATAAATATTTATCATGACAAGATCAGGTGATCAGCTTTTATATATTGCCACAAAGAGAGCCTGACAGTACCTAGTACAAGCTTTGCTGTGGGATACCCAAGAAGAGCCTCTTCTATGTTTAGTTTCAAGGGAGAAAGAGGTGCAAGTTTTTAACAAATTTCATGTTCCTAGTCCAAGTACCCCTACACTGGAGCTAGTACAAACTATTTTTTTCAAAGAAATGCAAACTGAAGCAAAGATTTTGCACTGCAAAATTGCAGCCATGTTATATGTACTAACTGCAATTGTGAAATCTTTCAAAGAGAAACTCCTGACTTTGGATTTTGAGAAAGAAAATTGTCTAGTTTTACGATAAATGATCTGCATTTTAAATGTTAAAATTAATTTTAAAAAGCTGGTCATCCCTCTACTGAAATATATTGATCTAGAAGTAATCATAGAATCAGTGCCTCATGAGAGGCACTGCCTTTTAGTTATTTCATTTTTTTATGTTTCTTTGCACTCAAAGAATCTCCTGGATAAAACAGTCCTTGAAGAGATACTTTCCTTCTTGAATAATAGGAAACATGCGAATGACAGGAAGATAAGCCCAATCTACAATGCCAATTACAGTCAGCTTCCATCTAGTTAGGACAGTCTGGGATGACTGGAATGCAATTCAGCATATACACCAGAAATATATACCTGTTCTGTGAAGAGATAAATTGCATTTTAAGCACCATTGAGCAGACTGACTAGCCACACACTGAATAAGAGAAAGGGTCTCTATGATGGTTTGCTATGAGACAGATGTCTACCACTTAGTCTGCTGCACCCAGCTGAGGTATCTGGTACACTGAAGCTGAACCACGCTTTTCATCCAACCTGAGGTAAGTCAAGAACCAGGAGAGTGCAAAAGACACCGCTGTCTCTGTAGCCACATAAAATTATTACAAATACACTTCATCAATATTTTTACAGATATTTAAATGCAAGATGCATGATGCAAAAACCTGTTAAATTATTTTTCACTTTGGGAAAGAATTATACGTAAATTGTGTCCATTTTTATGGTATAAGGTATCTAAGTGCCTTTGCTTTGCTCATTTATATTTAATGTACAAGGCATACAGAATACTCAGCCAAAAGATGCTGGCAAATCACTCAAATTTTCACCTTAACAAAACAGGTCTAGCAGAAGGAAAGATCTATCTCTACATGGACTAATGAGAAAAAAATTACTTGTGCTAAAAGGTTTTGCTAGCTAGAGCATTCTGTATCAAAACTCCCCAAGATACAACAATGTGTCTTCCACAGTAAGACTAGGACACAACAGAGTGCTTGTATCTACCTATTATATACAGTTAAAGGAACAAAAAGACACAGATGATTTTGTTGGAAATACACTGATAAAGCCTTATTATTTGAATCTTACAGTATTCATTTGGCCCAGGAACACTTCATATTTTTAGAGCAGTCATCATAAAATTTGTTATTAAATTGTTGGCAGTAATATGTAAAAAGGAGTTGGCTTTGATTATTGGCAATTTAAACTTCGATGTGAAACTAGCAGCATTATAACCTTCTAAATCGCTTATGCAATATATTGATGTCTACTATCTTTGATTTAATTTCTTTACCACAGTTCCCATACTAGAACTCGCAGCTACCAGCTCCTTTGGCTCATGTGTAAAAATTGTTGTGAACGAGATCAAGGAAATTACCCCATACCAGCCCAGGAGCCCTTGTTCCATGCTATGCAATTTTTAAGGTGAAAAATGAGATCAAAGAAAGATTGAATTCCCCTGGCAACATGAGGAAAGCTCCAGAGATACTAGTAATATTCCTTGGTCAAAGGAGTTGCTTCTGTGGTGGATACCAGCAATAGCATACAGGGACTTGGCCAATTACTCCTGCAACAGTTCCATTATACAAAACCATTTTCACACGGACTGTTTCACCCATTCTTACTAATACAAATGTTTTCAGTCAATTAGTTTTGACTAAACAAATCTGTTTTTACAAACTGCCTAGAAACCTACTTAACACTTCCATCAAAAGGAATAAAGTATATTTTCTTTCTAGTTTTCAATGTTCTGAAGATTTCCTTCATAGTGAACTAAATTTTTTGCTAAGTAATAGCACACCTGGGTTCCCCAGTCACTGAAATAAACACTTCTTCTCCTCACCTCAGGAAAAATCAATCCAAAATTAGGTCAAACAAATTGAGAATTATATATGAAGACAGAAGGAAAGATCAGTGTTTGATACATATAAACACACTTACACACACACACAAATATTAATACAAGTACTATTTAACTTCAATGGGGGGTTTTAGTACAAGAAAACAGTTCCACAATACAGCATTCAAATTTATAATTCAATGCAGAGGATGTAAAATTTGGGAAATTTTAAGAAATAACTGAAGGCACTAATTTATTATTTTCAGGAAAAGTGTTACTCCTTTTTTTTAGTAATGAATGCAAAGGGTACTTAAACCTGACAGCTCTTCCTTTGACTCAATGCAAGGTCTGGATGTAGAAGGGAAACAAAACCCAGTTCGTGAACTCAAAATTACCAGTTGATCAAAGCCCATGACATGTAACACTTAGAATACAAAATTCTTCTTCCCTGAAAAAAATATGCATAATTGACAGAATTTATATTGGCTCAACTACTTAAACAGAAATGTTCTCTTCTGATGCATTTCATCACTTAGCTTCATCTTGACAGTAACTGATGGAATAAAAAACCATGTTTTACATAAACTATGTACTAACATTTCCTTTAGACTGAATTTTTAAACTTTTTCTCTCTTTCTGGACCTTTATCTCTATTAGCAAAGGAAATGTTTTCTTTTTGTAATAAGCCAATACCAATGACCTGCTGTAAAAATTATTTCAGTTTAATTCAAACTTGCCAGCATTTTCCTTGGGATATGGCCCCAGTTATGAACAATTCACTTATCAATAACTAATTAAAGGTACATGATACAATATAATTCACTGTAGAAAAGAGCAGCACCAGTAGTTAGGTGAAAAGACTGATTACATTTTAAACTACAATACAAACTGATAGGAAATGTGTTCACTTGTTCTGTTATGGTCACTAGGGAATTAGGAGAAATTTTATCTTATTTCTACAAGACTGGGGAGAAGAAACATTCCAGAAGTTTTCCTTTAACTTGGCAATTATTAGTACCTGTTTATTACAGCAGCAATACATTAAAGCAGGAACAAAAGCAGCACAATTCCAACAGAAAAAAAGTAGGTCAGGAAAACCCCACACTTACTTCAACTTTTTAAGTTCAACTTGAAAATAAAAGTGGAAATGGAAAAAGTTTAGATTGGCATACTAAATGAACCACTGAAATACCTAGTATTTTAGTGATATATATCATGTTATGCACAAAATCATGAGCTTGAGTTTGTGATTCATCTTTTGTGTGATTCACATGCTTTTTCACATCCATATTTACCCTCTGTAGCAACAAATGAAGTAAAGCACAAAGTCATTATGTTTTTAGCATCTTGCTTTATTTTTGTCATGGTTTTGCTACACATGGCAAGCATCAATGCATAGTTGAAAAATACCAGTGAATTTGAAATGTACATGAAATATTGGTAAGCAGTTGTTGGGCAATTCACCTGTAACAGGCAGGTGTATCTCCCAGGTGACATGGTGTAGCAGGATGCTCTGCCTGGAGTGGAGGTAAAACAACTCCAACAATGCCCTCTTTGCAAAGCTACCAGTGAATGGAGAAGCAGGCTGTCCTGCTGCTTTTCATGTGGAATAATGTTGAAACTAGCCTGACTCATCACTCCCAGAGTTAAATATCCTGATAGTGAGGTGAAGCTGTGGTAGACCTGCTGAAGTACCTGATAAAGGACAACCCAGTAATACCACTGATAAACTGATCTAAAGATGCTGAGCTGACATAGCTGACCTGGAAACATACGGCCCAGTCCCACTTTTTAATTGGAGGACCTTGTAACATCCCCCTTTCTGGACCGTGTGTGAAAATTCCTCCCTGTAGTGGGGATGGCCCTCAAGGTTACTCTTCAAGGCTGAGAGAACAAGATTTGCTCACGGTCATTGGTAGGGCTGAGTAACATCAATCTCTACTTAATAATTGCTTTTGCTAGCTTTGACGTAATTGCTTCAATAGAACTGCTTTAATAACGTCAATACTGTGTCAAAAATACTGCACTATACTAGTAGTTGCAGCTACCAACTCTCTAGTAAATAATTCTAAGATCTTTTAGTCTAATCATTATCACAATAAATAATTTATTTTTATATAAATATTGCCATTTTTAATTCTGTGGGACAAAGCTGTATTAAGGTTCAATTCCACATGTGTGATCCTTTAGACTTAAACCATTGGCAAAGTCTGGGACTAAGACTGGATCCAGCCACACCCAGCTGCCTCTCTGAGGAGTTTAGAAAGCAAGAGAGTGCTTTGTGTACCTTGTGACTCAATGGGGGGGACTTCTCTAATAAACTTTGTCTGAAGCTCCCACTCTGCCCGTGACACACAGGTGAGACAAACACTTTAGTTCTCCTTTGTACTCCACTCTGTCTCTGTACAAATTACAGCATTACATGCAACATCTCTGTTTACCTTGAAAAGGTAAAAAGCCCATGTCAGCTAAAGTTGCCTGAATGTCAGGTTGAGGTGTGAGACTGCCATGTCTGTTTGGAAGGAGAGAAAAAGAAGTCATGTGTTACAAGTGCTTGTTACGCTTTTCTAAGTGGTGTTCACCCACTGCTGTCATAGAACTGGTGTAAGAATATGACCAGAAAAAACAGTATTTTGAAATACAGCTAACAATTATTGTAAAAACTCACACAAAAATAGCTAGAAATACAGAGAATGAAAATATGTGGTTTTAAACTACTGAAGACATCCCCATTAATTGATCCTTAAAAATATCTAGAACAGTACAGTACCAATCTTAAGGACCACTGGTGGACACATAGTTATCAAAAATGCTAGAGCTACAGTCTAGAAGTGAGAAAGTGCAATTCTCCACTTTGTTCCCATATGCATTTCCCTTTGCAATGAATCTGGATAAAGCACAAAATTATACAAACATTATACCATGAAACAAGAATATTGAAAATTTTCTACATGGACTTCAGTGTTCACTCCTTGCACTAAATATATTCATTATTGGCATTCACAGCCTGTAGTTTAAAATACATGATAGAAGTAAATGAATGAGCAGTGCTTCTCTAGTAAACCATCATGCCTTTGGATAAAAGACAGTTCTTGCTCTGAGGGCTCTAAAGCAAGACATTTCTTACGTTGTTTCTGCAAAACTATAAGAGACAGAAATCCAAGGCATGAGGATAACTCTTTAAGGAATGTTCTGCTCTTCCAATCTTCTTTCCAAGAAAGAAACCTTTTATTCATTTTATAATAAAGCCTAAACAGACCCACTGTACTGTCAGACAAGTTTGCATTAGCATATATTTCTAACATGAAGAACAAACAGCGCAGAGACTATTCTTCTGCTGGAAAGACACATTTTAAAGGAGTGAAACGCTTTCCATAATTAGCATAGTGTGCTGCAAAGAGCCACAGAAAGTCTCTGGTACTGATTAAACTAGCCATCCCAATTAATAATTTGCTTGGGGGCTTTTTTTGTACTTTATACTAATATATATTTACAAATGTAAATGCAGTATTAACACATCACCTAACGCTGGCACCCCTTGGTAACCTGGCAACTTAAGGTCAGCACATGCCACCCTGTAGATGCTCTTCCACAAAAACAATCCCTTTCGACAGCTTTTCATCACAAACTGGAGTAGTTAAGGCCCTATTTCCTTAATGGGCAATGAAGTTCCATGAATAAAAAAATTAAAAATTGTTAACAGACATTCTCAGCTTGTACCCCATAAACTACAAGAGTCTAGACAGTCTTATCTAGTTAGACAAGACCAGACAATTTTTAATTTGAGACTTTTTCTGAGAAATTCTATAAATGAAAACTGAATAGTCCACAGTGCAAACTACTACTTCATGAACCTGCAGCATAATAACATTTTCCTCAAGGAACTTATTTATGAGGAAATTCATATTTCTGTATAATAATAATAATAATAATGCATTTTATTTTACAACCATGAGGATGATATTGCACTTACTGGAAAATGCCATTTACAAGTACAGTAGTAATCTCTTTAAGCAAATCCACATTTTGAGCAATTTTTATTTTCTTCTATCTTCCTTAAAGGTTATGTTTTACTGTAATAATGTTTGCCTTCACACAACCCTTAAATATTTACTAAAAGTCTTTAGTTTCAAATTAAATAGTATTCATAATTAGTGTATTTTTAAATATTAAAAACAATTTGGTCAGCACATCATAATACTATAACCAAACTGCCTTCTCTTTTCTAACCGCAAAGCTAGTAATTATCTGCAAATTTAGTACCAAGCAACTATAGGGGAATAGAATTTACTAAAACACTACATGATAGCAGGGTTCAAAGAGGTGCATAGACAGCTGCACAGTGTGAAATACAGATTGTTTCTTTCAAAACAGTCCAATATAGGAGTTCAGCAGGGCTCTAACAAATAAATAAATTCTAAAGGCTAACATATTTTTTACAACTGCCATATACTATTAAATCCCCAATAATACTTAGCATTTATATAGTACTTCACATTTTTAAAGCTCTATACAAATACTATCTAGATTGAAATGTATTGTCTAAAGGCAAAATACAAATCCAAAGTGAATGGTGATCAGAAGAATGGCACCATGACAGTAAAATGCATGACTGTAATGCAACCACTACATAGACAGACAAAGAACTTATCTAGCTATACATGAGCTATCATGGGAGATCACATGCTTTGCAAGGGAAAGGAATGTCACCATTCATTAAATAGGTTCTGTGACAAGCAATTGACACAGCTGTAACTGGCTCGACAACCTTAAAATGGCTAAGGTGTAGGAAAGGTGTACCACCTTCGAAGGTGTAGGAAACAGAAGAAACCCCTTCAGTGACAGCCAGCCAGGTTATTTCAAGAGATAATACAAAAAGCCTTTAAAAGCCATCATTCTTACACATCAATGTGGATTCCATGTTTTATAGACATTAATTCTCTAGTGCCTGTTAAATACATGATGAATGAACAAAGATGAGGTAAAGATGCTGTAATTGCCACATACAGCCAGTATGGCAAAGGCGGAGTTTTTCCAAATGGGCAGATCCAGAGGCCATGACGAATCCCGTCACGGACATGATGAGAAGTCCAGGATATGAACAACATCCAGGGAAGAAAGCACCATGAGTCCTTAAGCCTGAAAAGGTGCATAATAAACTTTAATGTCAGAGCCACAACAGGAATCACGGTAGTACAATGAAGAAGTGGTCTCCGTGGAAGAGTCAGAGCAGCCTGCAGGAAAGGAAAGTATAATGAGGTTCATGGATGTTTACAGGTGTACTGTCAGGTGACTAAGTGGAAGTGCAAAGAAAAACCACTCCTTTCCACTGCAATTAATCAAAACTAACACTATGACTATTTTATGCATGAAAGCTGTGTGCTGCCCTGTCTCTCTATTGTATGATATGAATCGTGGATCCTACTGACCATCAACGTCAACACAAGGAGAGAGCTGGATGAGGTATCCTAGTTGTCATACAGTCACATGGTGCACAGGAACTTGTGTAATCTGCTGCACTGACTATTTGTATTTAATTTCAAGATAATTAAAAGGAAAACAACCATCCAATACACTTGAAATATTTAATATTCTTTACTAGAAATAAATCATATGGCTTAATGGCATTTATTTTCAAAATCCATTCCATATTTTACTACAGTTAGCACCTGTAAAGTTGTTTCAGTTGCACAATGTTTAAAACAGAACAGTAATTTTCAGTACAATAAAAATTGGATCAAACTGACATGTATTTTGATTGCCTTGAGACAGTCTTCTTCAGGGAGAGGCAAAACAAAGTTCCGAAGCCCACATCTGAAACATTTGGTTTTTTTGTATCAACAACTTGTTTAACATTAACTTAATTGAAAGCCTTATATTTGGTTTTAATTTAGCTAGCGAGATTTGATTTAGCCATTTTAAGATGTGATAATGTAAATTTAATGTACACATTTCAGAAAATATCCTGTGGATGTACTCACTAGCAGCAGCTAGAACCACTGCCACAAATTCAAACACTGTAAAAAAAAGGTAATATCTTTGACAAATAAGTGACAAATAAGTAGATTCATTTTTCTGTAAGAGCAGGAGAAGTGATACAGGAGAAGAGATTTTTACCAGAAGATCTATATAGGTGCTGATGTAGTATTAATTGTCTCAGTGCAGATACTGGTGAACATTTGGAAGGACTGCAACAGGCACCAGAGATGTAACTTGACAGTGTTATCTCACTGCTGTATTGAACAATCCCTCATTGTATCTAATGCAGAAAGCAAACACAGCATCGCTAACCTGTTCGGTCTTTGGTTGTGTTTCGTCCTTGCAGGATTCAACAGGAGTACCTGACAGCGGGACTCTGGAAGAGCTTCATCAAGCTTTCATGCACAATTTAGACAACTGCTTGGAACCCTGTCTTCTCTGTAAAGGAAACTCTGATGTAGCCGTAGCCAATTAATACAGAGATGGGAAGCTACGGACCACCGTGGAATATATAACAGCCTGTGCTTTAAACCAAATCCAACATTACAAGGCCTGCAGAAAGCTTTGCCCAATTAGCTTCCCACCACATGCTTGTCCCTGACTCACGATCAGGTGATGGGATTAAAAATCTCACAAAGTGTCTCCATCATTTTTAACTCTAATGTTATGGACCCACCTCTAAGTTGGTTCAAAAGGTGTGTTTTCTACAACTTAATTTCTGTTTCACACAAGCAGGTTGTTCACAGATTAAAATAGAAAAACCTTGCAATGGTGAAATTGTTTATCACCTACTCTGCAAAAAGTCCAAATTTTCTTACTGTCAACAAGAACCTCAGAAGTCCATACTAGCCTAATTTTGAAAAAACCTGGATAGTAGTATGTTTTGGCAGATAGCCTATTGACTGATTTATTTCTGCACTTTGAAAAAAATCAGTAGCCAAGTCTAAATCAGTCTTTTCCCTCTGCCCTGTTAATATTAGGTACCAACAGCAACACAGTGAGTAAGGAGATTTTTAATGTTACTTACGTACACAGTTTAGCAGTATTGGTGCCAATCTTTATCCAGTTTTGGGAAGGTGAGGTTTAAGTTTTTTTCCTACAAATTTTAGAGGGCAGGGTTGTTCATACAGGCAACCTGTGTGTTCAATTTTAGCAAGAGAAAGCCCTATTTTATAACTGCAGCACAATTATTAGGCTTCTGAAATGCTGTGCCCAGCAATAGTTGCCCAGAATAGTCTGTTTCCACTTTTACATTCTGTGACTAGAGGAACACTTACATCCTTGAGTTGCCAAGCCCAAGAGACAGGCAGTTCTGTTTGGCAATATAAGCAGTTACACTCTCTTTCTCCTAACAGGCAAATTTATTTGCACTTAGAAATCAACAGATCTTCTTAAAAAAAAAAAAAAAAAAAAAAAAAAGTTAGTACAGTGTTCTGCCTTAACTGCCTGAAAAATGCTGCAAACAATTGATTCGCAAATGACCTTTTCCATGAAATGCACCTACATGTTCAATCAGGTACAAGATGATACTGAAGTTCCTGCTCCTCCAGCCCCTCTCACGCACTGCAGTGAGCAGCTGGACACAGGAGACAATAATCACACTCACTTGTTGCTCACAGTGATGTTGAGTATGATGGATGTTAAGTAACAACACAGGCTCCTTCAGGCATATTCTGTGATGCTTCACAAGCCTGAAGTCCTTAGTTTATAGTAACATATTCAATGTAAGATACACAGTTATATAACAGTCATAATGTTAACAATACAATAACATATTCAATACTATATTAATTGTTTTTGTGCAAAGCTTATTCTCCAGTTCCAGAAATGCCCCTGTGCAGCCCAGGTTGGTCAGCAGTGGCACATTAACCAGCTGTGTTATGTATATTTGCTGGTACAATCTTGTTTGCCACCAACTACATTTTCTACACTTTCAGAGTGTTCAGTAGCAATACAGCAATTTCTGCAAGTCTGTTCCGCAACATGAGTTTCTGGGCTACAGTCCTGGGGAGCACCCCCTCATGCAGTATCAGCAATCCTGACTGATGACAGGCTGCAGTAACTATCACCTTTAGGGACAGTCAATGAAACAGATTCTTCAAACAGTGATTCCTTGATTCTTCTACACATGTGCGCACAGTAAAAAGCCCACAGAACACAAAGAACTACAAATTCCAAGAAGTGAGGCTGTTGTAGATGTCCTACTTGTTGCAAAAATAATGTGGGCAAAAGGGCAGATCACATGGTAATTGGTACACAAGTATTTATCAGAGCAAACATATAAATACCACAGATGACTATTTACCCTGAATACTCCAGAAAAATAATGATGGCCATGAAAAACAGACCAATGGCCACCCAATCCAGGTAGTGAGCTGCGTCAGCAGGAACAGAAGTAGGTGACTGGAGTAGTGTGAAGGTATCAAGCGGAGGCAGAAGGCAATACTGCCTTGTGCTGCACAGAAAGGTTACTTAAAAAAGTTAACCTGTCATCAGATTTAAAAGTGATGATGAAGAGTTATAAAGGTACTTGTGTAGAGTACTATTGTTACAAATCAGTAATAGTGGTGTGCTTTGTTAATTAGACTTCTTATTTATTAGTTAACTAGTAATGTGTTGCATAAACAGTAAACACTGTAGTCTCATAAATCAATTACTTTCAATCCTGCAATTCAAAGATGAAGAATGGGACTGTAACTAACAAATATATAGTAAAAAAGTATCCCACGAAGTAATAAATTTCATAGGAACTAGCCTGACATGAAACTGAGAGGTGCATCACACTAAACTGAGAAAAGAAAAAAATCACACATTACAATTGGATCTAGCTTGCCAGGCAGCACACTGCAGAAGAGGTTATGGGGATTACATTACATCACAAATCAAAGAGACTGATGGCACTGCAAGATGTAAAATTTGTAACAGGTGATTTTTTTCCTTTTAAAAAAGACAGAAGTATACCTGTGTGCCACTGAAAGGAATTAATCTATGCTATTTGGTTCATATGAAGTCTCTTCTAAAATACTACTCATGGTTTGAGATAGGACCCTTAGATAATTCAGGCAAAAGGCAATCTGGAGGAGAAGAGAAAAACAGTATGAGGTTTGGAAAACATAAATCCAGCCCCATACAATTTTTTTTGAAAGTTAGTTTAACTGAGAAGAGATTTTTGGTGAAGCATGATGGATTTCCAAGTTGTAATGCTGTTACTGCTCTAAAAGTCAAGAATCCTACATTAGATATGTTTTACAGGGAAACATCCTTTATTAATCCAGTTAACATATGGAAAAGGAAGGAGTTTGTAGGCAAATAATTTGAAAACCCCTTTGGACTTCTTGTCTTCTCCTTACCTCAGCTAAGTAAGTTTGGCTACTGAAAGGACTATGATTCTACTGTCCACATTGTGTGTTTCTGATGTGAAAAACATTTTTGGGGAGAGAAATCAGCTGTCTTTTGCAGAAAAACCTTAAAGAATAAGAAAACAAGATCTAAATGTCAACAAAGTAGCCTGGATTAGAAAATGAATTGCTAGCTGTTTGGGAACTGAAACAACACAGGAACAAACTAACTCAAGAAATTACAATAATTTACTGTGTTTCAGATACACAAAAGTTCTCCATCATGGGAAGTGTAAGAATATTTAACCTTGCCTCGCTGAAAGCAGCTAAGAAACAGGCCACCTCCCAGTTCAACACTCAACTTTCCAAATAGACATCGGTGAAGAGAGACATCTAGTGTTCACAATTAAGAAAAAAATACTGGTAATCATTTCAAATGCAATAAAATGAAGCAGTACAATTTTAATAATACTTTCTAATAGCCAATCATTCATTACTTGAATTTACTGATTTTAAAATAAGAAAACGTGTATGAGAATAAATACTGAATTAAATTCTATTCCATAATGTTAACATTATAGGATGCATTAATCAACCAATCTGAAGAATGGGCATAAAGAGAACAGAGCCAGGCTCCCGGTACCCACTGACAGAGCAAGAGGGAATGGACTGAAACACAGGAGATTCCTGCGAGGGAACACATCTTCACTGTGATGGTGACTGTGTATGGGATCCAAACATATTACTCAGAAAGACTGAATGAAAGCAAACAGCAGCTCTATCATCTACTTTTCAGATATTTCTGCCCCACATTGCAGATATTTCTAACCCTTACTGTAAAAAGAAACAGAATAATCCACTATATATACAAAAGTGTGCAAGGCAGCCTTTAACTGCTTAACTTGGGTAACAAAGCAACTATATGATACACATAGGATAGCATGTACAGCTTTCAGAACTCTTCTAAATAGCAGAAACCTAACAGCAGAATATTTCTATGGCTTTTACAATCATAAAACCTGCATATAATTCCATATACCTAACTTTTACATTTAGGACAATAAACTAAACAGTGATGAAGAAATAAGAGAAATAAATTACTGACTTATTGACCTACCTTTAAAGAGAGGGATCCAGCAAGAAAGAAGTGGTCCACGTCAATGACAGAGGCGAGGAAGCCAGCCAGAGTGACCTCAGTGAAGTCACTTTTCTTCCTGAGTCCAATCACTATTGCCCATGACCACATTCCCAGTATACCATGCACTGCATTATCGGAGAAGGCTCGGAGCCAGTCATTTTGCTGAATGAAGGAAAACTGCAGAAGTCTGTCTGCTACAAAGCAGAATATCCCCAAACCTAGACTGGAAATAACTGAAGCTGTGCTGAACGTCTGGAGAAGAGCATGGGCCTTTTCAGTCTCAGATGCCATGACAAAAGCCGTGTCACAGCACACCAAATGTTATCAGGGTACACACTGCACATTGTCCTTCGTTTTGTCACTTGTTCTGGAAATGTCAAGAGATCAGAAAGAAAATTAAAGAAAAAAATCCATTAGCACAAAGCATTTATCACAGCTAAAACTGAGCATAAAAAAGCCCCAAATTCAATGCTTGCACTAGGGAATTTTTAGTTTCAGTTAATTTGTTGACTTGAACACCACAGTTCTGAATTAAAACACTTGTCCTGTTTTAATTAGAACAAGCACTAATAACATGGAAAGCTCTAATTCCACTTACTGAAATATTAGATTTTACAATGTAATTTGAAACATGTCTATGATAATACATTTCAAGACCCCTTTTGGTCTTAAATACACGTTATTAATTGAATTAAATACTTTACACTGCAACAACAAAAGATTACTCAATATGGAGGATTCCTAGGACTGATGCTCAAAAATTCCAGATATCTCTATATGACAACTGTTAAAGATGAGTTTTTAATCTATAATCCAAATCACTATTTTAATTTACATATTTTGCAAACATATGTGTTATCACCCTGGTGCACTTTCCTGAGCAACTCCTTGTTCCGTTTGGAGACTGGGACATAGAATAAGCCTTAAGAAAACCAGAACCACTTAAATATCTTCACTATTTATGATAAACAGAAAGACAACAACCATTCAGTCAACCAAAGCAACCGAAACTGAGTGCTTACAGCAGAAAACTACATATGCTTTTTTAATTAAATTAACACCTCAAAAGAAATCCCAAAAATAATTCAAGATCTGAAAGACATCTCCATCCCACTCCCCAAAAACAATTACAGGATATCTGGATTACAAAGATACAGTATTTTTTATTTATGTGATAACGTTAAAAAGAACAATTTAGAAAAAAAGTCCTCATGTTGTCCACAGCTTTGTTATGTTAAACACACTGAAAAGCTGTCTTTGAAGGACAGTACCAATTCTACCTGTTCTAACTGCTGTGCTAGTCTTTTTGGGGAGGCATAGTGGTAAACCACAGTTTTGAAGCCTATATTTTATCTAAAAATGGATTCTTCCCACGAATTTGTGCACTATATTTAACCCTGATAATCTGTCTTCATACAGTTCTATTAGGTAAACTTTTTTTCTGAAGGCACTTCTTGTGAGTGTATTAGAATTCCTCTGAAAACAAATAACAATGTTGACACATAATAGTTTACGATTTTAAACACATTATTGTAAGCCTCAGAAAATATGTTTCTTCCAGACCTTTTGCATGCCTGCTTATTGTAGAATTATCTGCAACACACGACTGCTAGCATCTTTATAGAAAAAAAAAAGCCTGCTGAATCATTTCTGTGGAAAACATTAAAAAAAAAAAAAAAGAGAAGCATGAATAATACATAGTCTTTGTACAGAGATGAAAAAGAGTGGGTCAAGTTTAGCATCTGTTAACCATGACTGCCTCTTCTGAATGAACATGTAGACACAAAGCACTTCCTGAAACACTGCAAGTACCATTTTCTGGTGGATGACTTTTCTGAATAACTTCCATTTTAAAGAAAAAATGTATCCTCCTCATAAATATTTCCTCTATATAACCATCATGTCAGATTGGATTTCATTTAAAATTACCATATAATCTGTGTAGGAATCCAGTTCGTGCAGAGGTGACGCAGCAACATGCCTCTAAAAAGCACACCAGCATTCAAAATCAAACTTGGCCTGCAACTAGGAGGACATTTTTTTTCCCTGCAGATGCCTTATTCCGGTAGCCTTATTCCAAATGTGGTCTCTCCCTCAGTGTTGAGCCCCTGTGCTTTCTGAATCCAGTCTGCCCAGTCCAAAGCAGGAAATACCAAACACCATTTGTTCCATCCTAAATAAAACAAACAAGGCAGCAGTAAGATTGATACTACACAAAGCTCTTCAAAAGCTCTACAAAACACACATGAAATCTGAAAAATAGTAAAAAAAAAAAAAAAGAAAGGATAAATATATACTTAATTAATTCATGAACAAATATAATTGAGCTAAAAGCAACTTCCAGCTAGGGCTTTGAATCGCTGTTAAAGAAAGCAGAAAAAAAAGATCACAAAACAAGAGAAGAGCACACATAAAGACAGAACACAATAATAATTAAAAGATAATAAAACCCAGAAAAGAACACTCCCAGTCTTTTTAAGTAGCGGCCTTTCAAAATATAGAGCAATCTATATTTTGAATATAGAATATAATCTATATTTTAACAGATCCCTTCTTGTGCCTGAAAGATTCCCACCTAATGAAACATTTACGAGTCCCATTCAGGAATCTATTTTTTAATTTCACCCCATTACCAAGTGGCCTCAGATCAGATAAAGAGAGATCTACAGATTCAAACAGCAACAGAAATCTGTGTCAATTTGGTCTTAGCCTTACACTTCTTTGCTATGAATAGTATTACCATGCTCATAAAGTACACAGGACAAGTAACACTACAGACTTTAAAAATCCAAAATGAGTATGATTTATTATGTATCATGAACTAAAGGTAATAATGCCAACTGGACAAGAAGTACTGTACGTGAATGGGTCTCTTTCATACAGAATGAAGAACAGGATGCCATACTGGCTTTGGGTTGACCTCAGTCAACAGTGATGTCCAAATGCTGTTTCTAAACAGCCTATTTCTGCCACCTTTTTAGACAAATATATGTGTAAAAATCAAGTTACATTCCCAGGAAAACAATATTAACTATAAATATTCTGCAGATCAACAGTGAAATCAGACTAGAAAAGGCAAAATTCTGTTCAACCAAAATAATTTCTAAAATGATAAATTTAATGTAAACGTAGAACCCCTTTTTTTCTGAAATAATAAATTTTATGTAGAACTAGAAACTTATTTTTGGCCGAAAATTATGATTTTCAAACTGTTTAGAAAATATCACAATAAAGTGCCATAAGTTTTTCTATCCTATCCATAAATCTCAGAAAGCATATTTGTTTACATATTTGTTTTACATTCCTGTTAAAACATAAAATTGGGAAGTAATTCACAAAAGAATGCTTAAACTGGGTGGTCAGTCCAGTTAACATGCTGAAGGGAAGCTTTATGTTGGTTTTACATAAAACACAACAGCTGACAGAGTGACACTGCTTAGAGCTGTGATTTCTTGGGTCATTTTTATATGAGATAAAGCACTATATACATCTCTGCCCATGCCCTCAAAATGCAATTGTGCTGATATGTTTAACGTAATTTAAGGAAGTTACCAATATTACTTTAACAAATGCACAGTTAACACTTTAAATTACTGACACAAAAAGATATTTAGGTCAAAACTGTAAATACGCATTTGGGGAAACTAAGGGGCCTTTCAACTCATGCTGTATGAACAAAACAAAAATCCGATGGCTAAAATGATCACTTAGAAATACTTTTCTCCCAATTTTTTTCTCCAATTTTGCAATGATGAATTATGGGAATGCATAAAACGACAGAATCACAGAATCAATTAGGTTGGAAAAGGCCTCTGGTACCACTGAGGTCCAACCAGTGACTGAACACCAGCATGCCAACTAGCAGAATTATTTGGACTTCATGTAGGAAGTCAAAAGACTGCAGTCCCTTATAACTCTGTTATCTCCTAAAAACTCTAATATTTGATATTAGATGTTAATTTTTATTAAAAACTGCATGATGTAGAATTACCATTTAAGACACCAGCTCAAACCTTAAGCATATTAATTCATGGAAAAGGAGATCCTAGCCTAAGTCAACCTGTGAAGAACTGGCAATGCAAGTGTTTTTGGGTCAGATAATTATAATGCATTATTGGGGCTGGAGGGCGGAAAAGGACAAAAGCCCAGAAGGAACCCGCAGGATTTACCCAAGATGCCGAGGAACTAACTAAATTAAGCCCAACAGGGAATTAACCTGGAAACCCGGAGTGTGAGGGGACGCCCGGAGCCCTTGAGGGCTGAGGGGGCTGGGAGCCGCCGCCGCCGCCCGTGCCCAGCCCGCCCCGGATCCCACCTGGAGCGCGGCCGCCGCCATCCGCCCCCTCACCCCATGACGGAACGCCGCCCCATTCCCGGCAGGAGCGGAGTAGGAAGCGGGTTAGGAAGCATGCGTGGCCGCGGAGCAGCCTGGGACCCGCACCAGCCCCGTCTCCTCCCATGCCCGCCCCGCCCCGGTTATGAGGGAGAGGCGTTCCCCAGGCGGCTTAAAAACAGCGTTCGGGTGTTCGTGCTACGGCTCCTTACAGCGCTGGGAGAAAAGCGTCTTCTGCCCTGAAATAAATTATTTATTTACTTAAAAAAAAAAAAAAAAAAAAAAGAGGAGAATATAAAGAATTTGGGAAACATTTTATTGGACTTCTTGGTGTAAGCTTCTGGATAAAAGCACATTATTAGAGTTAAAACTGCCTATCCCTTTTATATTTTATGGCCAGTCTTCGCGAGCGAAGATCCGGCTACTCTAGTCACTTCAGCAGTTCACTAAGTCGTTCTATGAAATCAATCGACTCAAACACAACTTCATACGTTTAAAAGCAGCATGGTCAGGTCAGGCCTGATGTATTTATACAGCTGTGCTCTATTTCACCTGTTCTCTTTGTCTATACCAAACATACCCCTGGCACTGTTACTGACATTCCAGTGGCAGCTCACAGATTTCACGGGTGTCACAATGGCAACTTGTCCCTGTGCCTTCGGCCTTCGTTCCTGCTGCCCCTCAGAGCTCCCTCAGACACAGCCAGGACAGCTCCTATGAGGATACGGAACACAGCTCTTCATCTGCTGTGAGGCTTCACTTCCCAGAAGCGGCAAGCAAAGATTCAATATCCTGAATGACTTTAGAAGTTTTCTCCAAAGCTTCCAAGACGCACCCAACACTGAGTTCTTCCGATTCACTCCTGCTTTCATTTTTTCTGACAGTGATACCAGACGGATTGGATTTTGCAGCAGATGCCCCTTCCAGAACATTGCTACTGTCTAAAAAAACTAGTGTTACTTTGTTAAGGAAAAACACCAAACTCTTCCTCCTAATGAGAAAAATAATTCTCCATGTCTATATTCATCATTCTGGATTGCAAAGTTTCACATTTTGTAGCATGATAATTACATATAGACATATTACTTAAAATGTCTATAACATTTACATAAAATTGTCTTTTAGACTTCAATTTTTCCAAGAGTTACTTTAAAAAGAAAACTGATGTTACACTGCAGTTTAACAGTGTGCACTTTTCACACTAATAGAATTGTACACTGATTTAAAGACAATTATAGAGTGGTTTTAAGCAGATTCAGCACAGCACACATTTTGAGCTGGCTGAACACAATTAAAACAACACTTAGGTAGCTGATAAACAGAAAGATACTGTACTGCAACAATAAGCCCCAAGGCAACTGCCTTATTCCTCTTTCAAGAACAGATCAGCAGATGACTCTTAGCAAAACTGATGCAATAAGCATTAAAGGGCTGCGTTTTTTGGTGACTTTCATTTTGGTGCTGTGATGCAGAAGTTGGACAAGATAAGTGATAAAACAAAAATTATAAGAAAAAGAGGTAATTTTAAGAAGTAGGGCAGCAAAAGAAAGTAGGAACAGGATAGAGAGCCTTTGATGATCTAAGTGAAGATCTGAACATGCAGATAAACAGCAGAGTATAAAAGTGAAAAATCTTCACAGCTTTTAGAAGGATACAATTAAATCTCTGGATTTTTTCGAGCTCAGCATCAGCAGACCTGTCCAAGAAAATAAAGATTATTAAACTATATAGTATCATAAAAGGTTCTTAAAGACATTTTATAAATCAGATTTTATTTTTTAACAGTTTCCAGCAATACTGGAAGTTAGATAAGCAAAATCCAAGTGTAAAAAAAGTCGCTTTATTTCTGTCTTTCATACAATGGCTGACATTAATCATTTGTGTTCCTGAAAACTAAGGCTCTGCTTGAAGAGTAGTCTCTTTTCTCTATGTATCTATAAATATAGATAAAAATTTTCACTTCATCAGCTATAAAATGTATCAGCTGAATCTGCTATAATTTAAGTAACAAGTACAAGAGTAATTGATATCAATTAACACATTTTTAATACCCAAATGTGTTTGCATGTGATGTCAGTAGATTTCTGGTCAGTAGCATGTATTAAAAAGGGCAAGTCCATCAGCAAAATACCCAACTGCTAAGTTCAAAGCACTGTTTTGAATTGCTTGATATTCTGTTAAGACACCTTTCTTAGCCTAGTTTCTCTTTTTTTGCCTTGCAAGATACTATCTCTGTAACATTAATACTCCTTTAGCCAAGTCATCGTAATTCTGATATTTAAGTAAGACAGGCTCAATGAAACAACCTCCCCCTGGAACCCACCTAACATTTTAAAAGCTGAATGAAAAATATGAAACCATACAAAATAAATGGTCTTTTGGACCATTAGGAAATGCAATCTATAAAATTCACAGTTTATAATATTTTTGGGCTTTGTTTTCAATATTATTTATAGTCAATTTTTTAGGACAAAGATGAATACCAGTTTTCTTCAGTTACAGAGTGTGCAGTATATTCAGCAATCTCTTTCCTTTCATTCAAACTTCTGCACCATTCTATTGCTGTTCTGATGTACCTATGTTAATATGAAAATTCAAAAAAGTAGTTACTTATATGAAAAACAAACTATTAATTCAAGCAAAAAACTGAAGGTGTTAACCAATACATCTGGATCTGAAAGAAAAAGCTATGATTCAAAATCTAGCCTTTTCTCTAGTTTGCCTTGTCATTTTTTGATTCATATTTTTTGTCCAGAATCTCCTTCATATTTAGATTTATGCTGTTACAGAAAACTAAAACAAAGCTGTTATAATTTGTGATGAATAGTGTACAAGTGGTTATTTTTGTTTGTGAATATCTGCTTGCTAAAATGCAGCACAGTAAGCTTCTGATGATACCCATAATGAGGCTGTAATTCGAGCAAGGAGATTACAGAAAGTAATCTGCAGGCAGAGGTCATTATCTGTAATAAAGCAAAAATTGGATAAAGTGCTGTCCACTTTTATGTACCAGCTCTACATAGGACAAATGCTCTTGGGGTTTCTTCTTATCCACAGAGGTAAATGCCAAGTTGCAGCCCCAGTTATTTTTCTAAAAAGGCATTGCAGTAACAATTATGACGTAACCACAGCATGCAGTGGCCCTGGGTCATACAGGTCCTGAATCTTTGCCAGATGTAAGATGGAACTTTTATCATTATGTCTTTGGTCCAGCCATTCCAGTATATTGTCAGTAAATACTGCTTCTTCAGCTGAATGGATTTGTACAGGATTATTTTATATTTAAATTGTTTAAATTGTTTATACCTTTCATAGACTCCAGGATGACTTATTTGTATTAGCTGCTGTACCCCATCAGGAGTAGTTAACTTACACCAGCCTATATCTTCATTTACCTTAGAAGAACAAACATTACAAGTATTAATTTTCTGCTGTAGTCTGAAGAAGAAAAAGGAAGAATAATTTGCTAATTTAAGAATTAAATATCTATGAACAATCCAGTTCAAACACTTATAAGTTTGTGTTTTGCTAAGGACAGAATTTGGTACACAGTCTTAAGCTGTGCCAGGGGAGGTTTTGGTCAGACATTACGAAGAAGTTGTACACAGAAAGAGTGATTAGATATCGGAACAGGCTGCCCAGGGAGGTGGTGGAGTCACCGTCCCTGGAGGTGTTTAGGAAAAGAATGGATGTGACTCTCAGTGCCACGGTCCAGTTGACAAGGTGGTGTTTTGTCATAGGTTGGACTCAGTGATCTCAGAGGTCTTTTCTGACCTAACTGATTCTGTGACTCTGTGGTATAGTCTGCTATGACAAATGCAGGGGAAAAAGGCCTTGGCATAGCCCCAACACCTGCTTTGTCCTATTCAAGAATAAATTATTTCTAAAAGTGCCTAGAAACATCTCAAAACCTGTAGAATTTTCAATTATTTTTTTATTTTTGTATTTTATAGGCATCAGAACTTTTGCTTCATGTTCTCATTGATTTCCTAGTAACACTTTTTCATTAAAGTTTTAAGAATAGTCCTTCCTGTAACTCATGATTTACCTGAATCTCATTAGAGGAGGAACTGAAATCCCAAACCACATTCAGGGTCAACCCATTCCAAAAAGCAGCATGGACTTTATGATCTGAGTACACAATGAGTCTTCCCATGCTGGGAATAGTCTTTTCATACAGCAAAGCTGGCAACATTTCTCGTCCATCTGTCTCAGGTACCTAGAACCAAACAAATACATCAAAAACTTGAGGAAAGATTACTTACATCATTATAGCTGTTTGTATATGGCCCAAATTTTTAATTCACTTGTTTTTCCCCGATTACAACCAGCTTTCTTCATCATGCAATTTCTTTCTCATAAATATAACTTTACATACACCTTCATAAATATAACTTTATAGTGCATGCTTTTGGTTCCCAAATATCTACTTCTGATCTGTGAGAATACACTCAACATTCTTCCCTCTAGATTTAGTCCTATTCCCAATAGCCTCTATAATCTTCCCATAACACTGAAAGTTTTATAAATTTTCAGCTACATACCATTTTCCAACAGCAGAAGTAATAGTTATGACTTAATAACAGTTTTGTCTTGCAGCAATAATGAAGTATTCTGAGGAGAAAAAAACCCAAATAAAATATTAAGCATTTAATTCTTATTACGCCTTCTAAGCAGTTGAGGCCTTCATTTTACATGTCCTCAGCGCTAATATAAATTCCTTTAATTTTTATACTTAATAATAGTAAGTAATAATAGTAATAGTAAATGTTATATGTAATTTTAACTCCTGTCCTTCCTAAGTCAGAGGAATTAATGTAACAAAGGTAAAGTTACTTGGTTGCCTGAGTAATAATGGAGGATATAGAATATGGATTTCCTGGTACATCAGGAGGAAGGCTGTTCACTGAATACATTTTTTCTTCCACCTGCAGTAAAAAGCAAAAAGATGAATTAGTTACAGGTACCATAGCATGAAAACAGCATTAAGAGCTTGCAAGTTATGAAATTTCTAATCTCGCAGAAAGCAACTATAATCACATTTAGATCTGCCCCAGAGAAACTATCTCCCCAAAAAGTAAAAAACAAAACAAACAAAACAAACAAACAAACAAAAAACAACAACAAAAAAGAAGGCAGTTTCTCTGCACTCAATAAGGGCCACAAAGTTCTCTTGTCAGAGTAGGCAGTAGTTCGTTGCTGAGTAATGACATTTGACTACAACGTAAAGGCTGCATTTGAAGAGTACAAAGCTGATCCTTAATTCTGCTTTAAAAATACAAGGCGCTGCATAAGCACTTGAGAGGATTTCTGCTCTGGGGAAACTTAGCAACAGGCAGACACAGAGAGGCAAAATCCTTTCTCCAGCACTGAACAGCTGGTCTGTAGCAAAGCCAGAACACATCTTCTGGGTTCTGTCTCCATACAGTAGAAAAGAAAACACTTCCAAGTACATAAAAATTAATAATCAGTATGTTACTTTAAAGACTAAACTTATAAATTAGTGACAAATGGTACTGGTAGCATCTTACTCTTGGGTTTGATAAAACAAATGTTACAATGAATAAAATTTTTCTTATTGTGTCTGTAATTTACCAAAATACTTCTGCTTCAGAAGGAGTAATCTCATTTTTTGTACAATTAATGGCTTGATAGAGGCATTACAGTAGTTCACTACGAACTGCATAGCCAAATGTCTTAAAACTAAGAAAGCTACTAACTTGAAGGGATTTGGAATATACTTTAAAATAGTTTTATACCTGTTTTGTTCCTTTTTGGACTGCATAATGTACGAAATATTTTCCTAAAAATGCTCCCTCTGACTTGAAAAATGAGTCATCACCAGGATAAACTTCTATGATGTTTGTCCTACCATGGATAAATCTAAGAAAAAATAACATGGTTTTTAACAGGTGTTTAAAATGCTGTTTCACTAGACAAGCAAAACAGGTTAGTACACTTTAAGAAAGCAACAAGCAGAAACACATTTTCAGTAACTCTCACGTGAAAAAATTTCCGCCGTTTCATAAAAAGCGAAATGTACCAACAATTTCTTTTAACACGGAGGATTAGCATTACCAGGGCTGTTTCTTTGCATGTGTGCATGAGGGGGAGGATTCAAATAAGCTAAGGAGGGCTTTTTTTTGTGTTGAGGTAAACATCTCACAAGGGCTGCTCATATCACTGACCACAAAATACAGTGATTCTGAACAGAATAACCCACTTTTCTTAGTAGACCAGCCCTACCTAGTGTACACAGAAAACTGTCAGACTGAATGATTCCTGAACAATCTGAAGCTCAAAAACACACTGCAGCTGTGTGTTTTCCGTTAATGTCAATGGTCTTTTATCTGTGATCATAGCTATTTTCAAGCTTAAAACCCACTTAAAGACCCAACTCTCTGGTTAGATGCCTGGACTTAAGAGGTGGGACTTAACAGAGTTAATTGTGGCTACTCACTGTACTTTCAAAGAAAAGAGGTTTCTGAGAAAAAAAAGCTCTAAAGTGCTGCTAAACATTTTGTTCAGATGAGATGAAAATTTAGGAATTACACTAAGAAAAACAAAGAACACTGAGCAGAAGGATTAAAGGTTTCAACAGCAACGATGCTTTTATCAAAGACCTTTAGATGCTGATAGCAATTATAACAATTTCAATTTGAAAGAGCATGTAAAAGAAAAAAGTATTTTTTTTAACCATATGGACAAGGTGACTAGCCAGTAAAATCCACAGTTGAACTGCCTGCAACATATGAATTATGGAGATCACCAAGGCAAACATTTCTAAAGCATGAAATCATCAGTATCAAAAGGAATGCTAAGTAATTTGAAAAGAAACCAAGTACCGTGATTGTCAGTGAAATCTGTGGGAACTCCAGCTGTCCAATAAACCTTTAAGAAATCAGATCACTTCTTTAGAAGCCTTAAACGTGGTTTTAGATTCAGATCTGGAAGTACACTATACTAGAAAACCTTGAAGTCCAATGAACAAACAGCAGAAATGAAGAAACTCTTACATGAAGATTGTGTTCAATTTCTCAGAGAGTGAGAAATAGACAGAGTAAGACATTTCATCTTAAAGCTTAATTCCCATAACAATAAAGTCATCCAAAGATGACACACATGACTTCCTACATACCTGTAAAACACACCCTGGCACCATACAACTTGAATTAGCTGAGGGCATGCATAGTTTTCAGTATCTTCATTCTGAAAGAAGTCACAGAAAGTCCACCTGTGTAAAATGCAATAAAAGTCTCACTAAGTCCAAGGGTGTGTTTTTTGTTTGTTTTTTCCTTTTCTTTTGTGTGTGTGCTGGTAATCATTTCTGTAATAGAACTGATGCATGCACACCTGTTTAAAGGGAAGGGGCCGCATATTTTTAGAGTCCTCCAATTCTTTAGTTATTCACATTAGTTCCCAAATTAAACTTCTCAACCCTGCAAATGTTTTTATTTTTAGTGATGCTGACAAGAGAACATATTCCACTGGCCCACCTCAGAAGTATTATATTCTTCTCAAAAATGAAAAAAACCCACAACCAAACCTAACACCTGTGTTCTTTTTTCAGTATTCTCTTTTCCATTTACATGTTTATACAGCATGTTAGAAAACTGAATTTATTTTTTTCTCTGGACTAATTACTACAGTTTCATTACAGTAGGATACAGAATGTTGGTTTCACATATGTTATGTTTCAAGAAGCTTCTAAAAAACCCCCGATAGTAATTTTGAACTTTTTTTTTATAGCTAGAATTCAGTTATTTCCCTAGAGGTTGAAGTTCCAAATTGAGGAACTGTGAAACATGTTAACAATTACAGTGTAAAGAGCTTAAATTACCTGTGTAAATGTGGGGCTCTGCAGCTGAGTGGCAAAGCTGTAGGTAAACAAGAAACTGTTTCATGTGTTTCAGGGTCTGTTAAAACATCAGCCTTGATAGATGTATGGTTATTTTCCCCACATGGCTTCATTATGTTCTTAACTGTATGTAAGCTACAGCACATCAGTGCCAAAGACAAAGGATATTTCCATTCTTCTGGATAGGAGGAAACAGACCAACACTGGGTAACCCATGTGTATTCAGAAGAACAACTGGTGTAGAACAAAGGGTCTCCATCTCTGTCTCCTTGATCCTTTGGTTTGGTTGGTTCCCTGAATTTACCTTCAGCACAACCACGTTTATTCTTCTTATTCTCTATTTTTGTTTGTTTCAATGACATTTCTGTAACAGAGTCATTACTTGGTTTTTCATGCTGAACTCCAGTTTGATAGTAGCTGTACTTTTGAGAGGAGCATAACGATGCTGCAGATGACTGGCTGACTTTGCATAAGAACTCCACTGTAAATTCTTGCTGTAATTCTGACAAGTAAAGGTGAGCATAGCCATCTACAGATGAGATCTTCACACTGCCATTGTCTATACATCTTGTCAGATCAGCTGTTGCAGGGTCAGGCCATCTAATTTCTAAGATATCATTGAGAAGAATCTAATACAAGAAAAAGAATTGGAATGTGCAGCAAGATAAAAATGACCTGCCTCTCAGAAATTACAATGGAGGATTTACATTTAAATGAATCCAGTTCTTCTGCAAGGTGATGTGTGACAAGAAATGCTGCTCTGCATTTATTTGTATATATGAACCCAAGAGGAAGTAAAATATCTAACCCTCATATCTGCTTCTTCCTGTTCTAACAAAGTTCTATCTAGCAATAAGGTTATAATTTACTAATAATTCATAAAGTAGGAACAGGGCACAACTACCCATAGACTGTACATATTTCCATTTCCAAGAAACTGCTTTTTAAGAAACACTGAAGAGAACAGCTGAATTATCTTGTACATATCAGTTACTGGCTGAGCTCATGAAGAATTGCAAAAGGACCCTTAAAAAAACCCACCAAAAATCAATGACCAGACAATAAGGCTGCAGATAAAAATTCAGTTGGGATAAACATAATGTGATATAAATGGGGAAAAGCAGTCCTAGCTTTCTATATAAAAGAATGGGCTCTGAGTGGACTGATACTGCTGGAGTTCCTCCAGTCAGGAATGAGGTCTTGGTATTATAACTGTCAGTCCCATAAAAACATACTCAGTGCTCAGCGGCAGTTTAATCAGTGTATTATGTGTTTGAAAATTCTAGGAAAGGAACAAGAACAAACAAGATATAATGATAACACTGAGTATGTCTTCACAGTTAATCTGCACTTTGAACAATGTTTGCAGCTCTGAACAGGCCACACTGCTGACAAAATCTCCCTCATCGAGCTGTCTAGAGATGTGGGTGGTTAAGAGTGGCGAAAGGAGAGCACACCATAGTTGCAGGTTGTTTTAAACTCAAGCATGATCCAAGTAATGCAGTACAGGTGTTTTTGTGCCCTGGGGCACACATACAGCGATGCCCTGTGACGGTGTTACAAGCAGCTAAGCATTAGCATGAAGTGTATTACACTTGTGGTGAAGTGTCAGTCTAGAACTTTTAAAACTTGCCTGATTTACCAGTTGTCTTAAGACTTCCACACCAGCATTCAGTGGGAACACCAGAGGGATGCTGATGAGGAGTAAAGCTCCCCAAACCAGTAAAGTGGTGTCTGGATGGACGTTCAGTCTGACCTAGACTAGTCATTGCTGCAGGGTGATGCTTTGCCCCATTCCACTCAAAGGCCCCAGCAACAGTCTCACACAGGTACTTCAGTGGGGAGACAATGGAATATTGAACCTGACAACCTCCTGGAAAACACCATCCTATTTCACTGGGTCTTTCCTGAAAGGCTTCTACTGCCAAAATGTAACACATATAAAACAGCTCATTCTATCCTATGTACAAAATCCTATAAAATCTTTAGTCTTACTAGGAGTAACCTAATTCTAGCGTTTGGCTACAAAGGATACGCATAAACAGAGGGCTAAGTTACAATTAAAACTGTAATTTAAAGTGGCAATACTTCAATCAAGCTGACAGCTCCACAGGCAAACTGCACTCGATACATCTCCATGGCCTGTACTCAACACAAAAGCATGCGGAGTTATATTAAGTCCACCAGGGAAGTTAACTTTACACAAGCATTGCACGTGTAGCTCCCACCTTTTTTCTCTCTGGAGGTATAACGCGGGAAGGTAAGTACGGGCGAGAAGAAAACTTGTTCCGGAAATCTAGAGCTCGTAGAAGTTGTTCCTAATGAAGCGTGAAGAGAAACAAAACCACCCTGTTACGGGTTTTTATGTGCGGAGACAACATTTTAAACTGATTTTTTACTTGTCTTTTTGCGGAGCAGATCTAAGAAACCCCCTCCACTTTACAGAGAGAAACAAGAGCTCTGTGCTGACTCCCCTGGGCCGCCCCGTTCCCGCGCAGGGCGGCAGCCCCGGCACTTCCATCGCAAACAATGCTTCCTGGGACAACACAGGGACGAGGTACCGCTGCCCTCTCCAAAGGACACGCCCGTCCCATACCCTGTAGGCACTGACGACGAAGGCGACCCGCTGGCGGGTGGTCTCGGCCGGCTGGAGCGGGTGGGCGGCGGCGGGGAGCGCTGCTTTGTACAGGTATTCGCAGCCGCACGGAGACAGCAGCAGGCGCGATCCCCCCGCGTAGTGCACCTCCACAGAGTCGTCCCCGAACAGCACCATCAGCTCTTCGGCCTCCATCGCACCGGGAGGCCGAGCCGGGACCGCAGGCAGCCGCTCGGGGCGAGGCGGCCCCGCCGGCGCACGGCGCGAACCGCGGGGCAGGACGGGGGCAGCGCTGAGCTCCGCCCAGGGGAGGTACACGCACCATTCCACTCGCTCACGGAGCCTCATGCACAGCAGAGCTGCTTCTCCTGACTCCCTGCGCACTGAGCCAGCGGCTGGGCAACCCGGCGATCGTTCCTGGCCTCCCCACATCGGCACCTCTGGAAAACTCGGAGGCAGGCTGGCCATCTACAACATACCCCAGAGGCAGACTACATATAAATAATTCTCTAGTGACTGCTGCTTTACATTCCTGTATTCACAGGGCAGGGAAATTCAAACTTTTGTATACAGAACTGGGTACCAGAAGTCGTAGCTAAGTAGGCAAGGTCTAATTTCCCAAAGGATAATTTCAAAATTATGCCTAGCTGTCTTTTTGGAAGATTATATACAACACCCTCCCTCCCCTAATTCTTACGATTAATCAAAGCTGGGTTAAGTGGATTGACAGTTTACAGCTAAGTGACAATTCATTATCGATCCCCGCTCAAAGCACTTAACAAACACAATTGCTTTCCACACTAGATCACGTGCTCTTGCTGTCCCTTTCCTACATGTGGAGGTACAAGTTTCTCAAATCAGTGCAATCACAGACAAAGCACATTCAGTACAACTTTCCATTCTCAACAGCTGTTTTCCCAGGAGAGAGTAGATGAGCATCCAGATCAGATGCAGGCACAGCCATGCACCAAAATAACCTGGTTCTATTTGCAATACCCTTTCTAATGAATATTATTCTGTACAGTACTTGCCTGAAGCAAGTTTCAAAGTTTATACTGGGATTATGAATGAGTCATGAATATTAGTTTTTATTATGGATAATACACTGTATTTTGCTGACATTTTCACTGCTGTGGCTGGAACCCTCACCAAAGAAACTGCAGAAGTAGGTCACTCAGGCTGAAGTAGGGGTGGCAAATCAGCAATTCAGTGTACAAACAGTGTACTATCTTCCCCGGCTTTTTGTTGGAATGTCATTTTCTGTTCTTGTACTAATTACCAGGATGTACAGGCATAAACTGGATTAGAACCACAACTCAATCAGACAGAAGTTGTAAACTTGAGCTATCAGTAATTGAATGAGTTCTGTGTAGCAGGAAGGAAAGGCAGAATGTGATAAGAAAGTACTGTCTCAGAGAGAAATGAAGATTACTATTCCAAACCAGACCGAGTGTCACGAATTACTGTATTGAAAACAAAAATCCCAGGTCTACACAATTTGTGATACTGGTGATACCTGACATAGTCTTTCTTCTTTCTGTAGTTCTACAATTAACCTAAAACCCAACAGTCAAAACCCAATGACCATCTGTTTTCCTAAAACAAAAAACAACAGGCTAGTAGCGAGACCTCCTTTGTAGGAAACTACTGAGAGTAAGTGGACTTCACTTCTGAATACGAAAATCACTCAAGAGTAAAGCACATGCAAAACAGCAACACTGGCAGCTCAATTTGAAATGACTTTAAACAAAGTGTGGTTTTCAAGTACTAAGCATTTATGTTAAATCGCAATTAGATTTTTCAGAGTGGGAAATATTGTGCATACTCCTACTGCTCTCTGAAGCTTGGTTCTCCTGTTCAAATTTGAATGTGAAGCCTGTTTCTTTTCAGAACCATTGCTAAAGAAGCTTCCTTCGCATGTCTCCCAAAGTTTGCTCTCCATGCTTCTGTGCCTTTGCTGGTCTCCCATTACACCAGAAAGCAAATCCATCTTTTTAAATGGTTATATATTTGCAAGGCATTGTTCAGAAACCTGTAGATGAGAAACATCTACAGCACTTGAAATCTGTCAATGCTAAATCAGGTGACTTTAAGACTCATATCTACCATATACAGAATGATGGGCAATTAAAAGCGGGCAGACAAGCAGAAAATTGTGATTCTGACAGTCAGAAACCTGCAGTTTTGTTTTGCTCTCCTCACATCTCATTCCACCATCACTAATTTGTATTAAAGTTCTGTCCGATCTGAGACAAGTAGGAAAGACTTAAGTGTTAAAGGAAAAGATTATTGTGTGTTTCTTATGCAGTAGGACAGAGTTATAACTAATTTTTCCCTACAGCAGCAACTGCTTAAAGCTCTTACCAAGCTTCACAGGTACAGAGGCAGCAAATTTCTCAATGACTTCGAACAAAAGTCTCACTTCATGATTTTTCAGTATTTCTGGAAATATTTCTGGAAAAGCTTATGTTGAAAACTTGACCTGAGTTGCTTTATATATACAATTCCTAGTTCTCAACATTTTAATAATACAGGATGATTTGGCACACTTCTTATCTATATGCAAGCTATACTGTCTCCACAAGTTGACAGGCTACATCTGGAACCTGAGAGCTACTTTACAGAAAAAGAAGACTCATCACAACAGATGCAAAACAAACATGAAAAGTGGAGTTCCTCTAAGTCACTATTACATTACTATGAAGCATATATGGAACTTCAAAAGGCCTAAATTCCTTGGGACTTTTAGTTTTAGATAAATATGTTTTCCAGAAGACATCTGCTTACAAGGTCAGCAGGAAGTCTAACCTGTATTTGGATTACAAATTTTGTAGGAAAATTATACTCAATTAGCGAATGCATGTGTGAAAACCAGCCAGTTTTCACATTTCTAGCTTCTGAATTTCAGTCTAAAGACTTAGAAATGCTAATACAGTCCTTAGGACCTTATTGCATTTTGATACATTTTATTTTTCCAGTGAGTATTTAAAGATGACAGTCTCTGCCACTGTGTACTTTGAAGAAAAAAAAGAAGTGTTGGGCAAAGGAGAGATAGAAGGAGGTCAAAATTCATTTTTGTTTTAAAGCAAAAAGAACAAAGCAGTGAAATTATACCAAAGGAAACAAAGCTAGTTAAATTTTATTTTCCAAAACTCCAACCTAAATAAGCATGTTAAATAACCATCCAAAAAACAGTGCTCACTCTATTAGCAGATGCACAACTTATTTAATCAAACAAATAACAGTGAAATATTATCAGAATTATTTACATGCATATTTACAATGTGTGTTCTTTATAGTAGGTAATTTCTGGGAATATTTGCATCTGTTCTTGGTAAGTTTTTCTACTCAGTCTAACCAGTATAGGTAACAGCAAACAAACTGAGTTTGGCAACAAAACCAATGAAGCATCCTAGGAAAACTAACATGATTATATGGGGTCAAAAAAAGAGCAGTTGGCTTCAGAATGTTAACATTTATGAAATAAATGTATGTACTCCAATTACAAAGTTAAATCAAACTACATAAAATTAGAAGAATAAAAGAAGTTACAAGCGTTGCCAGAAGGTTAGACCTGTTAGATGCATTATTGAAAACAAAAAAAAAAAGAAAAAGAGCACTGTGTGTACGCTTGAGAAGCATGGATTCAAACATAACTACATTATTGTAGTCTTGAAGAACACAACAAATTACAGCATAGTTTTTGCTTGTAAATTTGAAAATGAGCTTATCTGAACCAAAGATCTTGAAAGCACCTCACTTCCAAAATACTGCTTGCTTTTTCACATATCAACATATAACATTTATTCCAGGGAAAAAACCGAAAACTCCAGATCTCACTCATACATGTTTTGAAAGAGTAATAAAACAGAAATAAACAAAACAAAAATCCATACACAAAACAAAACTCTCACAAACCACATCTCATGATTGTGATCTACAAAAAAAATTAATTTTTTCCTTATTTGAATCACACTCTTCTTAGGGGGAAGGGAAGGAATCAAACACAACATATACGGTACATGGTAAATAGAATGAGTATATCCCCAATATATACTAAAGCAAACAAGCAAGCAAATTCAGATCATTATTCTTTCCCTTTCTTCCTCAAGGGAAATTTTATGAGGCAATTCCCCATTAAACTTTAATTTCAATTATAACTTCTAAATAATTTTTATTGCAGCCAAAACATTCTTCAAAAAACATTATTCATAAAATAAACTATGATATATACACAACATTTTAAGTTACAGGGCATAAGTTTACAATTTTTGGCAGATTCTGTTAAACAAAATGGAAATCGTATAACTTTAGTATTTGAAGAAACTAAAGTTCCTCATTTTGGTACAAATATTTTGTGTCCCCCTGTATTCTAACCATACCTAAACAGGTTTAATAAACTAACGTTAACATGTAACATCTCACTGTTTTCTCTCATGTTCTGATTCTAGACAGAATTTTTCATATGCTTCTTCAATTTCTGGATCCATCTCATCATCAATCTCATCAAAATACCTAAAGAAAAAAAAATCACCAAAGGTGTTAAGTTTACATACAGATTTTGAGAACCATTTGTGTAGATGTCAAGAATAAAACAAAGCTTTATAAATGACTGTATTTATTACATTATTTTTAAAGTGGATGAAGAAGAAAAAATAATGGGTACTAGGAAAACAAATAAACAGAAAGCTCAAAGCAGCATAGGTGTGTACAAATACCTACAGTGTTTGTCACATTTTTAGATATCTTCTGCTGCCCAGTTTAAAAGACAGAAATAGTTCCCAATATATTTGTGATAGAAAATGCAATCATGCAAGCCAAGCTTCCCAAAATTTACTAATGCATCCATACTGATCTATTTACAAAAAACATAATTACCAACATATTAGTAAGGTCAACATGCTAGCTCAAGGAATATGTTTATATAGAAACCCTGTGTTCCTGTTTATTCATATTTAAAAGGAGGCTTCCTACTGCACCTGCATTACACTACCTTGTATTATAGGGCACCTGGACTTTCAGAAACAATCAGTCTTATTTAGGTCAAAGGAAAGACTGGATTCCATTAATTAAGTATTGCACAAAATGGAGACTATCATAGCATTTCAAAACAAAGCTAGGCAGTGATGGGCATCATTTCAGCTTTCCCCCCACAGTATCCTGGGAAGTAACTTGTGTTTTCCTTGTTTTCTCCATATCCAACTCTAATGTCCTAACCATAGACTAGGACAATAGAG